GTTTCCCTTCTCTCTCTCTTTCTCAAAATTAAATAAATAAACATTTTTTAAAAACACCTTTTTTAAAAAGTTAAGAAGTGATGATGGCAGTCACTGCATACACATAAGGGAACCATTAGAAGCACTATGATTGACATGGGTGGTGACACAGTAGAAGTGTGTTTTGAACCAGCACACCCTCTGAACTGGAACCTTCTCTTCCTCTGTCCACGGCTGACCGATTTTGGGTTTTTAATTTTTTTTAACGTTTTTATTTTGAGACAGAGAGAGAGCAGGTATATGAACGAGGGCTGAGAGAGGGAGACAGAATCTGGAAGCAGGCTCCAGGGCTCCTCCTCTGAGCGGTCAGCACAGAGCCCGACTCGGGCCTCGAACCTGACCGGGCAGATCATGACCTGAGCCGAAGTCAGCCGCCCAACTGACCGAGCCACCCAGGCGCCCCTTGATGGGCTTTATTTAAGGTGCTGCTAACACTCAGACACAGTATACCTCCTGCAGCCGGAGAAACAAATCCCCCCGGTTATTTGCATTACAATCTTTGTTTAATGAAAGCTGCTTCTTTTCTTAAAGGGAGAATCACATTCCCGAATTCATATCTCCCTTCTCAGAGAAGAGGTTTGTATTATTCTGTGTTCACAGCCCGTGAGCCTCAAACACAGACTTTCTTCCCCAGCCACACGCCTCCCACTGCCGTGCAGCTGTTTTTCGCTTTCCCGCTGCTCCGGGCTGTGATTACACAGTTTCCATCCAGGCAGAGATGTGGTTGTGCCTCTTTCCTGAAGTTTTCCCCGAGGACCTCCTCTCCTTGGCTTTGACATTTTAAAGGGTTAAAATAACAACAACAAATCCTCATTAGATGCTTACCTTGACTTGAGATCCTTTCCTAAAGATAAAACACAGTTTCCCCGCTCTCAAAGGTTTGTCCGTGGAAACTTCGAGAGGTCAGGAAACTTGACCATGTTTCCAGCATATGAGGCTTTCTGTCCCACACCAACTAGAGCAGGGCCCCAGGAAACACAGCCGCGTTTCCCCAGATGTGGGATGGTTTTAGTGATAGAGGCATAACATGAAATGAATGTAATCTCACAATGACATTTTCTTCCCTCTTTTTTAGATTTTTCTTTTAAGTTTTACTTATTTGTTTTGAGAGAGAGAGAGAGAGAGAGAGAGAGAGAGAGAGAGAGTGCATCATCAGGAGAGGGGCAGAGAGAGAGGGAGAGAGAGAATCCCAAGCAGGCTCTGCACTGTCAGCTCAGAGCTGGACGCAGGGCTCGAACTCACGAAACAGGAGATCATGACCCGACCCAAAACCAAGAGTCGGGTGCTTAACTGACTGAGCCACGCAGGCGCCCCAAGTCATTTTCCTCTTAATTACCTTTTTGATCCTCCTGATTAAATTACAGAGAAACATTTCAGTGAGGTGTTGGCACATCTTAAACACATCTTCTAACACTTTCTACTTTACCTGTGTCACTAACGCGTGAGCAAACGTCCCGCTTAGATCTTTGACAAGAGGATCTGGTCAGAGTCTAAGAACATTTTGTTTTCACTGTATTTACTTTCACATCTGCCTTCAACTTGTAGTCGAGCATACTGGCTTCTACTATTGATTTGGCGATTCGTTTACGATACATTTGTTTAAGGGAAAGGAAAACTGAGCTGATTAAACAAGTATTAAATAAGGCAGCGCAAAGATTTGACAAACCAATGCGAGTCGTAGGAGATTGGCTTACGTTCTCAAGAGCCGTCCTGGGCTCGGAAGCCTCAGTGGTACTGTGGTACATCACGTGGTGTCTTACATTGATTTCTGTTTCTCACCCCAGTGGTCTCAGCGAAGGACAGGAGAACCACCGCATTAGCAGGCAGCCTAGATTAGCTGATCTCCAGCCAACACACGCACACACGTAAACACACCTACACACGGCACCAGCAGTCAACTGCTACTTTGTCTCAAGCTGAGATCCACTAGGCGATGATGCCCATGACTGGAACGGGCAAGACCCCACAGACCGCAGGTGCAGGACGTCCTCTGTGCTTCATCGGGAACACCATCTGCGGTGAATCCACAGCTCCCCTGAACGCGGAAGCCGCCTCGCGTGCACAGCCTCTCCACCACTGAACCATGGCTTAGGTGCTCCCTAAACCCCTTATTTTTGGTCTATTTCAGTGGTTTTCAGCTGGGGGCGTTTTGCCCCCTTGGGGACATTTATCAATGTCTGGAGACGTTTTGGGTTGCCACAGCTAGGGGATTCTACTGTCGTGCAGTGGGTAGAGACCAGAGATGCTGCTAAACACCTTACAACACACAGGACGGTACCCACAACAAAGAACGATCTGCCCGTACGTTGTTGCTCATGTCGAATGTGCCAGTGTAGAGAGACCCTGTTCTGTATTACGAGTTCCTAAAAGACCCTTCCCCGGGTTTTTTCTTCAAGATGGAGCTGCCAGAACCCATGTGGTTAAGCCTCTTTTTGACTTCATGTTGTGTTGCTCTGTGCGTATTTTCT